CTCATTAAAAGTGAATGTAAAAATAATTATTTGTAATAATTTGTTACGAAGGTAACCAATAAAATGTGTATTTATATTCATTTGAAAAATATTGAACTCTATAGAAAAAACTTACTTTCTCACCGCCCTACTTAACAATTTCCGTAACTTTTTGTCGTGTTGTACAATAATTTGTTTAAATGTTATCGTCTGCTCGTTTTCGATCATTTTGGTGCCCTAGCCTCGCTGTTTTGTTTACAATAAAACTAATCAAATACGACCAAAGTACAGGTTAATTACCCTCAGACCCCAATAGTAAATCTGACATTTTTTAGGAGAAAAGTGAGATGAAGTATAAATATTAAACGTGTGCATTGACTAGTTAAAGATGTTTAAAAGATTCTGGCCAAATTGTTTTTTCATGATAATCAATGGCAATAATAACTACATCTCATGGAATTTTATCTCTTCTGATAATTAATGTGTGAAATACACGCCATCAGTGACACAGCTAAGTTTTACACTTAGATGATTCTCAATACATTTCCCATATTTTAACTTTTTCACAGATGGTGGTAATTGCTAAAAAAGGTAAAAGATTTACCGTTAGACGTTTATTTTTAATTCGCATATTTCGAAAAACGCTAGACTTTTTTAAACTTTACTTTTAAAAGGTAGAAATTCAGTGTATTTTGCTCTGTCATAAGTGCTTAATAGTTATTTTACTTACACAAAAATTGCTGATCCATCAATTTTACCATGGCTGTCGTTCTTCAAATAAGCTATTTTCAGCCTCTTCAGCTTGTTGAATGTGAGCTCGCGCAAAGAGAATCGACATTGCCGTGGGATTGGAATGCCGATCGACTTCAAACGGAAAGCCGCCGTTGATTTTATTTCCATTTTATTCCCCATAACTAATCCTTGGTCCTGTTTAGAAGTCTAAGAATACCCCAGTGCGTGGAAACGGTAATGAGCTGCACGTGTATGTGTGCGTCGGTACGAAGTCCCGACAGTCTTAAACCGCTCCTCTTCCTGTTTCTGAAGTTCTCTCAACACGTCTCAAAACATTATTTCCCCTGGTGTGCTGCTGGGTGTCTGCTGCAACGCAGGTCGTGTCATTGCACAGGCGGATCGAGGAGCGGCCCTAAATTGATAATTGCGATTGATTGACCGAAGTGACTGGTGGAAAGTCGGGTTCCGCCCACTTCTCAAACTGATAAATATATGAAAGGACGTCATAATTGCCGGCCGAAAATTATCCTTTATCGAACACCATTAATTTTTAGTAATAACACCTCTCACCGCGGCTCTAATGTGTTCCTCAATTCGCATGAATCAGTCTCGAAAAACTTTCATTTTGCCATTAAAAAACAAAAACAAATGCGAAGAATTAATCGTCAAAGCTTTTTCAAATAAAAAATAAAAATATAAAACATCATAAAACCATCGTTATAGAAAACCAGAATGTTCAAGGAACGAAACATTTAAACAAACAAATAAATATAGTATTTACAGACAACACAATTGCTTTATTATGTCAAACATATACATTATCTATAATTTTCAGAAACGAAGCATAATCTTTATACAAAATGTCCCAAAAGAGTGAAAGCGGTTAATTGGATAATATGTTCTTAAATTAATTATTAAAAGAGATTTTCTCTTTATAAACATATTAAACTTTATAATTAACGAATCAATAACGAGGAAAGAAAAATTATTAATTACTATAAAAACTTTTGATTTCAATGAATTAAGGATGTACATAAATTTTATCCAAACTTTTTTGTTTAATTAATATTACAGAAGAATCGACTTTTAGAGATTAGAATTAACTAGATTTTTTATTTATACACTTTTTTTATTTTCGATTCCTACAATAAGTCCGTTTTTTGATGGTAAATGAAAATTTCAAATACTTGTAAACAGGTTGAATCAATAATATATGAACCGTTTTGTTCCACTACTTGTACCATATGCCATGTAGTTTTGTAATTCCACCCTCTCAGGTTAAGCAGTGAAGAATTCCTTGAGGTGTTTTCTGCAGTCCTGAAGTGAAATAGTTAAATAAAGTTTTCCCATTAATTATTTTAGAGAGCTCGGATTATGTAAAAATCATAAGGGCTGAAAGGGAATCAGACGGATATGGTGGATATAGTAGCTCATCCTAGTCGTTTTTATAATTTGAAGTACGTCTACAAAGACACGTGAAGGCACTGTTAAATTAGTGAAAAAACAATGTCCCTGCGATTAGCAATTGCTGGACTTTTTGGTCAATTTTTGACATTAATGCAGTATAGAGTTACGGTTTGATTGGGCGGAAGAACCTCATATCAAAGCACCCCTTCCAGTCCTACCAAATGCACCACATTACATTATTGGGATGCCAGGTCCATTAAAGGCGGGCCGCTGCGTTTTCCATACGATTTTCCTTTTTAACCATTCTTGTAAAGGACGCACTGTACATCCCAGTTATCAATATTTTTAGAACGTGTGCCTTCCCTGCAGATGAAGATGCAGTACAATAATTTTTTCTCAGTCACTTTGTGGAGAACTACTTTCAGATGCGTTGAAACGCTTCTATGAGTTTTGTTAATTTATGTGTCTCTGAAATGTCTCGTTTCGCTGATAGTAAGCCATTTCAATGACTGACATATGTAATAGTGTCCAGATAAAGTTTATGCTTAAAGGTAACACTATCACCTTGGCTGGCATTTATAGGTCATTTGAGACATTTGGAAATGAATTCTTTCACACTTTAGAAAAATATTCAGATGAAAGAAAGGACTCAATACATGTAATATGCGGAGATATGAATATTAAAATTAACTTAAATGAATATACTTCTAATGTGTACTTAAATACCTTGTCCCATCATGGTTATAATAGTGCTACAAATAAACATACTAGAGTCCAAAGTTTATCTCAAAGTACCATTAATCATATATTTTTGAAAGGCTTCATTGGTTCGATAATCATATGTTTTATATTTCAATCTGTCATTACTGACCACTTTCCTGTTATAATTACTATTAATTTAAACAATAAAAATACTTGTGAAACACCAAATGAATGTAAAAATATTTTAAACTTTGATCTGCTAAAGTATTTTTTTGGAAAAAGAGAGTTGGGAAGAAGTTTACAATACACAATAAGTTCAGTAGATAAAGCTCTGTCGGAATTTTATAATATAGTTAATAATCATATTAACAACTCTATGATGTTGTAAAACATTAAGGAATGGATTACAAAAGTAATTATTACTTGTGTTAGAAAACGGGATTCATTACATTGAAAAATAGTTAAACATCCTAAACAAAAAAAATAAATAAACAAATAAAATAAAATAAATAAATAAACTTACGCCTGAATTTTTCTTATCTGATGTATGGGGCCAATAAAATTATTGCGGTAGTGTTTTATATTGATGATAAAATTTCCAAGAAACAATAATATTTATTAAATCCATTAGAGTTTGTGGTCCGATTGACCAATTAATTTTTTTCAATTAATTACTCTTTATGTAAGGTATGGGTTGAGATAAAAAAGTCCTTTTTGCCATTTTTCAAAAAGGAGGGAAAATTCGAAAGGTGGGGTTGAGATGGGTGGTTACTGTCCGAGTGGATCGAAGTCACTATAGCTCTAGCGGTAGAGCAGCGGTTTATTAGCCGAAGGTCGTGGGTTCGAATCCCGATCGTGACACTGACTTTTTTATCTCAACCAATACCATACATAAAGATTACATAAAATGAACATCAAAATATATTACTATTAGCATTTTTATTGGAATTGGTTATTTCATAGATCCACTAACCGCAGTGAATCAATTAACTTTTTGACTACTTTTTAATTAAAAGATGTTATTTTAATTAACGCGTATTTGTTCTATTTTACGATTGTATTATTTTAGTGCCATTTCTTTCTCTTTTGTTATTCCATTTTACTTTCATCTATCCAAGAAAATGAATTAATGCTTCATTCTAAGGACGATTATTTTTCCCCCGTTGTTGTGATCACTTTAAGGACGAACGCGAGCATTGCGGCACTTGTTGAACCTTCTTCGTCGGATTCGACAATAAGGGGGATTTTCTTTATATGAAAGAACCATTCTTCAGTACGCGGAATAATGTTTTAAGACTGTGGAATAGTTTTTCTTTGTGTTTTTCCACCGAGAGCCGATAACATTCCGTTCCGCTTCCCCGGTTTCCTATGGGAACTAGTCCAGAACGAATTTGTAATCAGGGCTCGGTAAAATTTCGGATTTCCCTGCTTAGTCGTCTAAGGGAGAATCGTTTTTATAATTTTTTCGTTGTTATGTATTTTTCAACGATTGAAAACGCGGATGCCTTGAATGATCCGGTCCAAATATATCGCGAATGCGAGCCTTGTAAGCTACTTACAAACGACGACAGGGTACAGCTTATTCGAATCTGTTAATTCCAGAAGTGACTTGTTATTAATTTATAATAACCAATACTAAAGTTTCAAGTACTGTTTTTAATAGATTTTTTCTCATTTATCGTCCTATACATATATAAAAATCTGTAGTAACTGTATGTTAAATAGTACGTTCAGTCTTATAAATTTAGAACATATTCTTTACACGGTTTCCGATGAGGGTCAAGGATTGGGACAGGTGCGTGGGACAGGTTTTTTGTCGTAAAGCATTCGTTGTGATTTCGATACTTTTGATTTCCATTTTAACTCGCTTAGAAAAAAAATTCTATCCCAATTTGCTGTTTTAAAATTTGCAGTTTGCCTAATTGAATGAAGCATAAAGACAGTTAAACCTTTTAATCTACACCGATTAAACAAAGAGATCCGCAGCCTACGGAAAAAAGGAATTACATTTCCGTGATCCCTATTACAGATAAATGCGGCCATATAGCAACCTCATGAATATATTACAGGTTAATATTCCCTCCGGTCCGGGACATAGCTGACAAGGAAGTTAATCCGAAATATTTTAATGGCGGCGTGTACCCGATAGGATCAAATGTTTGACAGACAATAATCCGGTCAGGTCTTTTCCCGGCTTGGGAATGGAAGGTGGAGTGTGAAAGGGGCCCTGCGAGGAGAGGGACAAGGAATTTTAAGTGGAGTGAGTTGTTAATTCAAGTTTTATGTGTCCTCACGAGCCGGGGCTATCGTAAAAAGAATTACATGTCTTTTAATTTATCTGCCCACCCGTTCTGGTCCACAAGTGTGAACGTGCTTTCGCTCTATCTAAATGCGTATTACAAGACCCGACGCACAGTGGTCTAGTTAGGAAATCCAACAGGTTAAAAATACTGTTATTAAAAAAAGGTTATAATTAAAAAAGAAACTCAGGCTAAGAGGGTATCTGTACAACCTCAGTTTGCATTTCAGTACGTCGCGAATCATTGTAAAACGTTAGGTTGGTTGGAATGACCAGGGATGATCAGACTACTCAACAACAAAACTTCTCAGCCTATACTCTTGTGTTATCTTTATATCACTACATTCGTTAATTTGAATTTAAAGCTGAAAGATATACGATTACTCTAATTCTGCTTAAGTTATTCACATCCGCCTAGTTTCGACAATTTTCAATTCTCGCATATTTCCTATCCTTCTATATAATCTAACGCTAAGAAATACTTTTCAATATCTACAAAACAACGTAAAAACAATGCTGTAGATAATTTATGAAGTAACATTGAGTACAATCGAAAACATATGGGTCAAAAAGGGTGTGAAACAAATAATTGAACGATAGGGAAACAATGTAGAAATTTGTTAAAAACAGAATGCAGGTGCATAGTTAAATAGTTCAGTTAGAGACACGTATTTTCTATTCAGTGGATGTAGAATCTACTCGTCGATAGTAGATGATTCAACCCTTCCATTACCGATTATTCTCTCTCTCTCTCTCTCTCCCCCCTCTCCCTCTCTCTCGCTCAACCTCACTNCTCTCTCTCCCTCTCTCCCTCTCCCCCTCTCTCTTCTCTCTCTCTCTCTCTCTCTCTCTCTCTCTTTCTCTTTCTCTTTCTCTTTCTATCTATCTTCTGTATATCTGTCTATCTATCTATCTACCTAATTCTAGAATGATCTGTTTAAATTGGTGATATCTTCAATAAGTTGAGTGAGTTATTTAAAAAGGATAGGAGAATCTAGTGGTTGGTTAGGCAGCACCAATGAGAATATTTGAACAAGTAATTGAAAATTCATATTCAGAGATGTTCAAATTCATTACTATAATTGTTTACAAGTGAAGAAAGGAGTTGGGAGTTACACCTCTACATTTAGTTAATATTCACATATACTTGCCATAATAATCTGCTCTTATTAGGTAACAATCTTTTTCACTAGAAATAACTTATAAGTTTTTTAAAATGAATAATTTAAAAATGAAATAAAAGATTACAAAAAATTGTACATTTTTTGAGCTTTTAATTATAAGGATTTTTTGATTAAAAGGACTGAGTTTGATTGAAACCTTGTCGGTCGCTTGGTCATTGCCGATTATCCCTATCCGCTTAGTTTCGCCTCTATTTTCTCGAGGTCAGACTTTTTTCTTCTAACCATCAACAGATTTATTTATCGTTATGATTCCTGGAGAGAAAAATGGAGTGGTCAGTATGTTTTTATAATATTTTTTTTTTACTTAAAATTAAAACTGCACATGTCCGGTTTTCAAAACCTTAGCCTATTGAGATGTTGACTGTGCGAAATGACGTTTATTTAATTCATTATTAGAAACAATTCTTTGGATGAAAGTTTTATAAATATGTTATAAAATAGTAATAGCAGTCATTAAATTATCTTAAAGTGTAAAGATTCGCTAGATTCGGTCTATTGGGGCGTTCAGAAGTGTTCGGATTTGATTATAGTTTTATCTGTCAAACTGTTTTGTAGTTTTATAATGGAGTAAACCTTTTTCCGATAATTCGTATTAAGTACAGAGTAGAGGAAAGGTAGAAGAAAGGAAAAACAGAAAAAATTCACTCGCTTCAATAAACAATTGTAACTGCTCTTGCGGTTTCCGGATTTTACAGCGTTATATAATCTAATACCGCCATCTGCAACGGCCGGCTGGCCCGTTCTGCTCAAAGGCCCGGACTTGAGGGTCGGAAAATTACGGAAAATCGAATTTGCTATGCGTCCTCCCAAACATAAAAAGCGCTACATGTCTTTTAATTAACGCCCGTCCGGTCCTGACCCAGGTGTGGACGGGCTTCGGCTCCATCTATCAGTCTCTTTCAGGAACGTGTACACTTCCTTTTCCGTACAAAGGTCGAAAAAAGCGAGTATGAGAAAAAATCTCAAACAAACAAACAAATGAACGTTAATCTTTCTAACTAATCTTCTTCAGCCTATGTTCTCATTCATCATTTTACACCGTGACGGAGGCACTTAATATTAATGTTACTTATTTCAAGATAGCTTAATTCAATGAAGAGTTAGTATAATTGGTACCTTTTATTTATATTTTATACTAACACTTTCAACTGATCTTAAGGGATGAAAATGTACGTATTTGGTTAAATTGTATTAATGCATCAATAAAGGAGCAGATTCGCCTTACTGTGATTCTTTTCTATGATTTATAATATATACATTCGAGTTTAACTTTATATTAAAACTGATTGATTATGCGAAATTTAAGATTAAGTAAAGTCGGTTCCCCGACATGAAGGCATAAAAGGAAACAAACAGACTGACCAACCAGCTAAAAAGGGGCAACTCTTGAACCCATGGGACCAGAACTGGGTGCACCGGAATGTGTGCTTAAGTCGGAACTGAAAAAATAGCTTGAGAAAGAAAAACTCAAAAAACACAAAGACTAGGCAAAAGCACCAGTTATGAGGCAAGGTAAAAGATGTATCAATCTCTCAAAATGGAAGGCGAAAGATATCTCTCTCTCTCTCTCTCTCTCTCTCTCTCTCTCTCTCTCTCTCTTACTCTCTTACTCTCTTACTCTCTTACTCTTACTCTTTCTCTCACACTCTCCCCCTCCCCCTTCTCTCACAACAGACAGGATTTGGGAACAATTAGCGTCCTCTTAACCAACATTTACAGAAGATGGGCAGAGCAGAGGCAGAAACATGCCAATTGTGTTAGGAGGAACCAGAGCCATCGGCACATATTCTTCCTAAATGTGAAGCATTTGCCCTTACACTGTACAACCACTTCGTAAAGGCAACTCCCATACTAAAAGAGAAGTGCCAAGAGGCACCAAAGAAAGTGCTTAATCTTATAGGAAAAAGTGCACTTTCCAAGGTATTTCTATAATTTTTTCGGGTTACGCAATAGATGTATTTAGGCCGCAGTATAGGAAAGTATTTTTAATAATTCTTAATCAACGCCAACCTTAAGAGAAATGTTAAATTAGGGGAAAAAACGTATCCGTGAAATAGTGCTGTGGTTAGCTTCGAAATATCTAACTGGACCAAATGATAATTGGATAAGCTCAGGGATAATTAAATGAGCTGTGAATTTCGAACAGGATTTTTTAAATATGAAACTAATTAATTGTTTGCATTTTTGCATAAAGATACTAATGAGCGAAAGTAAAATTATGTTCGTTTTGATTTTGTATTTTCCCTTAAGTGTTGCAAATGTTGATAAAGTTTATTCGATTTAATTTTACTATGAAAATAAATTTGTTTGAGCAAGGAAACATTTTTACATCAAAAACAGTTTTGACTTTAAGTAGAACATACCAATGAAAAATATTTTTACTACCTTGTAATCTATATCGACCAAAAATATAACTGTGGTAAATTTCAATATTTAGGCAAAAGGGTAAATGGTTGAGTTAGCGGATAATTGATTTAGTGATATATATCAGTCGTGGTTTTAAAAACCGAAATAATTATTTACCTGTTTGATAAATTTGTCTGTAAGGAGCTTTCAATCATTACAGGTATTAAAGATGTAGTCATTGTAGAGGTCAGGTGATTCCTTATTTCGATCCAGTTTCGTTCTTCATCCAGTTAGTTTTATGGTTGCCCTTTTCAGTTTTTTCTCCATCAGCCTAATAGCCACAGCCAGATTATTCCAGGTTTTAGAGTGTTAATATAATTGACCTTTGGAGTTTCACAATTTGTACATTTTTTATCGAAACAGGTGTGTTTTAAGGCGGAAGATGCCAAGTTAAAAAATCATGTCCAAATTTTTATTATTTGACTGGAAAAATAAAGGTGGTCATTTTGAAATCTTTGCAAAAGATAAATATGTCAATGGATAATTGATTGGGTGACGAATATCAGACAGGAACGTGGGAGGATTCCGCTTACATGGAGGCATCTTGTCCTTTTTCCCTTTCCCCTATATCACTCCCGAGTCCTCTTTCTCCCCTTCCCCGTCCAGATCAAACATTCATTAAATAAATTAAAGAGAGGAACAAAGAGTAGTGACGGGCTAACAAGCCCTTGTTCTGTGCCGGGGCAAGTCATATATCAATAAGAAAAGTTAATTATTTTCACGTTATAAAGATAAATAATAGGTCATTAAACGGCGATAAAATTCATGGATTTTAATAAGGCTTGGGATAGAAGCAAAAACCAAGCGCTAAACTAAGCGTTAATATCTTTATCTGCGACGGGTTTTCTTTTGGTTTTTTTAATTAGATGGAATCAGGAACTGGCAATTTCACGGTGTGGACGTCTCGCTCGTTTTACTCCAGGCACATTCTCACAATCATTTTCAGGTTACGCATTCTCAAGAGGAGGTTCTGTTTATTTACACTCTTAAATGATTACAATAAAACTTTTTATGAAGATAATACAAATCCCATGTTTAAACAAATATTTGATAAAACATTGTAAAAAAGTAAAGTAATTCCTTTCATACAGAAGGGAACTACCCATTGGGTGTTGCGGACAATGGGTCAAACCAATTTACAATATCTTTTATTTATTATTACCAATTAAAATTGTATGGGCTGTGTCGGGATTCGAACCCGGAAACACTAGTGTCTCAAATACGAGTCGGACGCCGTCGATATTAGACATAGTTCAAAATCCTAGTTTCAACTTATTTGTATAATTAAGCTGTCTGCACACGGAGCTAATGTAAATAAACGGAACTGATTTGTGAGCGGCATCACTACTAGTGATATCAGTTACTGACTCT